TAAAAGAAATCGAATTCGTTTATGCCGAAGAATTGATTTATTGCAGAATATTTCATTGGTTTTGCTTACACTCGTAGTAATAGTAGTAGTAATATTATCTTCTAATAAAAATCCAAGATGCGAAAATATATTTATGACATTTTTAAATTTCTTTTTTTTTTCTCTCTTTCGAATGATTGCAATCAACAATTAAAATGGCTGACATCATTTCTTTCGTTTCTCTTGAACTTTTCTACGCAATTGCGAGGGGAAAATCGCGCCTAGACGTGTGTGCGTACGTGCCATAACGAGCAGTACCCGCGAGAATTCCACGGTTTTCCAAATGCAATTTTTTGAATCATAATTTTAATTTAATGATGGAATAAGCTTCTTGTGAAATCCACAACTATAAAATAAAGATGGAAACTCCCTCTATCACACGGTTAACTATTTGAGCTTAACAAAATATTACTATAATAATCGAAACATAAATGCAAGTCACACTTATGATCATACAAATGAAAAGATTCTAAATTGACAAGGTTTTCGATTTGACTGATGCAGACGTTAAATATATTAGAGCGTTATCGCTTTCTCTATCTTTTTTTTTTTATTATTATTATGCCTGCTTTCTTTTTCTTCCTTCCGCCTAACATCGTCTCTGGTATGTTGTTTTAATTTTTTTCATCTTCCCTCGCAATCAAAACAAAATAGTTCATTATTTATCTGAGGTAATGGCAGATCATAGCGAATGTGTTAACTAACGAATAAATAGACAGAATAATATGATTGTATGACAAGTGATGTGCGATACAGTTTTCTAAACGTTTACCGAAAGAATCTATCATCTTTCCTGAATGAATTGATTTTATGTTTTAAACTCAGTTTTCTGAACTGGGATAATTTTAATACATTCTTACGTCGCACCATTTGACTTGTTTACGAATATGTTACATTTATGCGCCTGGCTTTTGAGTTCAATGAATTCAAATTTATCTTTTAAGCCACACTCTTTTTTTTATGTGCGATGTCCATAAGCACGTAGGCGATCAAGACTACAGCCCTCTTTATTTTTTTAATCATTTCACCCCAAGTAAGGCGTGAATGTTACGAATACGGGTTACAGGGAGTGAAAGTGAAAGAAAAGACTGGGTATAAGGAGAATTAAGGAAAGGGCAAAAGATAAACAAGATTAAAGAAGATGGCGATTGACGTTGCATTCAAATTGTGTTAATTTCATCCCACGCAAGGCGAGAATGCCACTAGTACACAAAAGTTTACATGTAGTGAAAGTGAGAGAAAAGACGGAGTATAGAGAGGATTGAGGAAAGGACAAAAGATAAACGGGATTCAAGAAGATGGAAGATGGCGATTGATGTTGCATTTAAATTTTTGAAGATTGCAGTTTTCAGGGAAGCAAGTAAACGGAAGGGAGCTTCACGGTCGGGAAGGTCGAGAAAAGAAACTATTGAAGTAGAAGTATCTATTTCAACTGTAAATGGGTGGGACCTATTAGCATGCCTACATTTATGTAATCGCGGCATCAAGGAAAAGGCCGTGAAAATATATGTAGAAGACAGACGGAAACCACGCCACGCCAGTGAGAAAGTGTCTGAAGTCGAGATACCAGGTCAGGATCGATTACATTGCAGATCCCTTTTTATCATTTGTAGGTCTGAGTAATCCTTTCCCCTATCATCTCTCACAATCACTGTTCTGCCATCCATTTGAATTCAGTGTTCTCATTCTACCAGGCTGAATCATAATCACAGCTAGACAGGCCAATCTTCTCTGCTATTTAATCCATAGTTAAGGGGACAATTTCCCAAGGGTGTTTATGCGAAAGTGAGTGTAAATTTCGGATTTTAAACTTGCCATGCTGACTTCTTATTCCGATCTACGAAGCGTTACACTAACTGCACAAACAGAATAACGCCTCCTAAATTGAGCTTTAATCTTATATATCTATACATCAACCATCATATAATGTGCTTGTCGCTCTCTTCGTTAGTTCGCACGACCTTTACGCCCTGTCATTATCTCATAAACAATGAACTATTGCGTTTTGATCGCGTAGAAAGAGGGGGAAAAACACTATTTGGTATCAGTGAGAAAATGAATTAAAGAAAAAAGGGAAGATGGAAATGTTTAACGGCTTTTCAATGGAGTGGAAAACGCTGTCGATTTCAAATCTTTTCATTTGTACCCCCTTACTTCTTAAAATGACGACCAGCATTCATATTTATGATTGTCGTTGCAATATTTCGTTAAAGATGATGTCAAACGTCCGAACAATGAAAACAGTGTACTATTTACATTATTTTGACGGTTGTCCTTGTCTTTATGGTCATATTCACGATGTTTCGGCCTTTGTGCGCTCAAACCTTCTTCAGGTTATATACGTTGGAATTTCGAACCGAATTTGGCGTACCAATCTCCTCATTTCGTTTCGTTTTGGCGTACCAATCTCCTCATTTCGTTTCGTTTTGGCCTACCAGTCTCCTCATTTCCTTTTGTTTTGGCGTACCAGTCTCCTCATTTCCTTTTGTTTTGGCCTACCAGTCTCTTCATTTCATTTCGTTTTGGCCTACCAATCTCCTCATTAAGAATCGTGCCAAGAGGAAGACCAACCGTTGCACTCAGAAGCCACTTATCAATGCAGCATCTGCAATAGAGCTTGCAGCTCTAAAATTGAACTCTACTCTCACGAGAGGACTCATCGGTAATGTGTCGATAGAATACTCACGCATTGGCTAACGACGCAAGAATCCGTACCGGCCGTTGTACTCTTCAGCCTTCATCTGATACTTGTCAATCCGAGTAACCTTGATGTTGGGGAACGTCTGACACGTTTGAAAAAATCAGTGAAAATGGTAGGCTATGTGGTCCCTGATAGTAGGCCTAGCATAGAAATAAATACATGTGAGTCGTTAAAAATAATTAAAAAAAAAGAACGAGAAATGATATCAAGACTCAACAGTAGAATCAGACGTAGTAGAAAAGAGACGCCTTGGTGAGTGCAGTCAAGCGTAACAGCGCTCAGCAGTTCTCAATGCAGAATTGCACCACGGGATACTAACCTAATGGATTAAAGCAGGGGTCAGCAATCTACGGCACGCGTGGTACGCGTGCCACATGTTGCACGCCAAGCAATTTCCAGTGGCACCCAGCAGCAAATGACATCACGAAGTCTAAACCAATAACTACTACAACGCAAAGAATATATTTAGGTGTTTCAATTTTAATATAAAGTATATATACTATATATTAATATACATTACTATATAAAATACAGTAGAATCCCTGACAACCGGACTAAGAAGGCCTTCTGGATATGAGGAATTGATTACAAAGTCCGGATATGTGAGGTTATATTTAAATTAAAATAAAAGAACTTTTCAATGTTTTATAGTAAACAAAATAGGCTAATGGTGAGTGAAATATAACGGAATTGATTTTAAGAAAAACGAAATAAATTATGTAATGTTAATGAAAATTCATTAAATTAATTATGCCACGTATGCAAAATAAATAATGTAACGAGGATTTTTTTAATCGCTGTTGCATGATGATTCTTTCTCTTCTAATGTCATTCTCAACTTTTTCCGCGTTTCTTTTTGCTTTTGTTCTTGAATTTTTTTAAACGAAAGACACTTTTTAACCCTGCGAGCGTTATTGTAATCGTCATAGCCAAATACTGACATTCTTTCCATAAAACTGACAACCTTTTCAATAGCTTTTTCAATTTCAGTCCAGGTTTCATCACAAACGTGTTGTTTTTTTTTTATTTCCTTGTTCATTGTGACAATGTGAACTCTAGAGAATAGTTTCTTTGGAAGATTTTTATATCATACAATGTTGATTTTCCTATGTTGAACTCAGCCATTAGTTACAATGAACTTTCACCAGTGTCTACTTTTAAAATTTCCATTTTTTACAATAACTCCAAAGTTGTTCTTTTCCTCTTATTCCCATCATCTTTTGCATCAATACAAGCCATTAGGGTGAAATAAGCATAAACAAAATCCAAGGTAAATTTCCTGAAAAACAGAAATATGAAATCAGTTACGCAACACCCATATAGTTCAAATATACACATCAAAATCATGTCCGGATATGCGGGATTCTGGATATGAGGCACTCCGGATATGAGGGAATTCCGGATATGAGGTAGTCTACTGTATATACTAAAGTATATATTACTATATATTACTGTTGAAACTTGACTAATGCATGGAATAATAATGCAACACAAAATGTACTTAGAACAAAACGTATTGAAACAAGGTGTACACAATATTTACATATAGTCTTTTGTATATTCCTGGTAAGACCGTTCCTGGAGAATGTGTTGACTGAGTCGCAGTCGGGCAGAGTCTCTGGTTGAATCTCTTGATTCCTCCCTCTCTTCCCGGTACCAACCATATTTATATGGTCGGTACTCCACTATGCAAATTAGGTGGATCCTACCACAACACTTAGAATATTGCTGCCACATATGGTCCAGTGCTCCTGCTATTTATCATGAACTCCTTGATAAAATCCAAAGAAAAATCAGCAATATTATTGGTCCTGATCTGGCGGCTCGACTTTAGTCACTTTCCAACCCTCGTAAGGTTGCCTCCTGTGTCTTTTCTATAAATACTTTTATGGCAATAGTTCAGATGTAAGCCAAATCAGCAGAAAATTCCCATATCTTCTGCATATTTTGATAGATTTCTTTAAACCTCTGTCTATATTTCTGAGATTAAGATATATTGACCTTGACTTATATAAAAATACGTAATTGATAATTGACCCGGCTCCCAAAGTGAATCCAGGTTTTCAAGTTGTAAGTTGGCACACTGAATGATTTTAAAGCCCTAAGTCGGCATATTCAGCAAAAGGCTGCCGATTAAAGTATTGATTTATGAATTTGACGATTATAGCATCTCTGAGCACAATCCTTCAACTGTTTCAGTGAAAACTCATGGAACATAATTGTTCGTGTCATTAATTCTTCTTCGTTTTTTTGTTTTCAGTTATTGGTCAGCGTTTTGCCGGAAACACATTGAGCATTCCTTTGATTATGCTTTAATGTACTTACAACTTGAAAACCTGGATTCACTTTGGGAGCCGGGGCAATTATCGCCGACTGAGGTAAGCCAAATCAGCAGAAAATTCCCATATCTTCTGCATATTTTGATAGATTTCTTTAAACCTCTGTCTATATTTCTGAGATTAAGATTTCTGCTATTGTAATGATTTACACTATTTACATTGTCCAGACTATTGTTCTCATCTTCGTCGCCATTTTTACGACGTTACGGCCGTTGTACGCTCCGGCATTCTTCAGGATTTGTCTATATTTCTGAAATGAGATATTGGTATTATTTACACTATTTACATTGTTCAGACTGTTGGCCTTATCTTCGTTGCCATATTCATGACGTTTCGGTCGTTGTACGCTCCGGCATTCTTCAGGATTTGTCTATATTTCTGAAATGAGATATTGGTATTATTTACACTATTTACATTGTTCAGACTGTTGGCCTTATCTTCGTTGCCATATTCATGACGTTTCGGTCGTTGTACGATTCGGGCTTCTTCAGGATCTGTCAATATTCCTGAGATGAGGTACTGTAATTATTTACACTTTTACATTGTTCAGACTGTTGGCCTTATCTTCGTTGCCATATTCATGACGTTTCGGTCGTTGTACGATTCGGGCTTCTTCAGGATCTGTCAATATTCCTGAGATGAGGTACTGTAATTATTTACACTATTTACATTGTTCAGACTGTTGGCCTTATCTTCGTTGCCATATTCATGACGTTTCGGTCGTTGTACGATTCGGGTTTCTTCAGGATCTGTCAATATTCCTGAGATGAGGTACTGTAATTATTTACACTATTTACATTTTTCAGACTGTTGGCCTTATCTTCGTTGCCATATTCATGACGTTTCGGTCGTTGTACGATTCGGGCTTCTTCAGGATCTGTCAATATTCCTGAGATGAGGTACTGTAATTATTTACACTATTTACATTGTTCAGACTGTTGGCCTTATCTTCGTTGCCATATTCATGACGTTTCGGTCGTTGTACGATTCGGGCTTCTTCAGGATCTGTCAATATTCCTGAGATGAGGTACTGTAATTATTTACACTATTTACATTGTTCAGACTGTTGGCCTTATCTTCGTTGCCATATTCATGACGTTTCGGTCGTTGTACGATTCGGGCTTCTTCAGGATCTGTCAATATTCCTGAGATGAGGTACTGTAATTATTTACAATATTTACATTGTTCAGACTGTTGTCTTCATCTTCGTTGTCATATTCATGATATTTCGGTCGTTGTACGATTCAATTGCGTCCAGTCATTGGATCTGTCATACTATTTCTGAGATGAGGTCACCCGAATTTCTGGCAATATTTAATTGTTCAAACTGCAACGCTCTTGATTATTATATTATTATATTTTGTAAGGTTGTCTGTCCAGTGATTGGATTTACATTCAAGAACTATTTCAAAAAAAACAGAATATACCCGTTGACATCTACTTAAATTTTGTTAATCATTTCACCCAACTGCAAGGCAGGAATGCTATTATTACGCAGGGGGGTTATTTTGTAAGGTTGTCGAGAAAAGACTGGCATATATCGGTTTTGAGGAAATGACAAAGAACGGAATTCAAGAAAACAGAATATGGCGATTGACATTGCACTTAAATTTTGTTAATCATTTCACCCCATGCAAGGCGGGAATGCCACTAGTACGCAGGGGGGGGGTTACAGGGAATGAAAGTGAGAGAAAAGACTGAGTATAGGGAGGATTGAGGAAACGACAAAAGATGAACGGGATCCAAGAAGATAGAAGATGGTAATTGACGTTGCATTTAAAGTTAGCTAATCATTTCACCCCAAGCAAGGCGCGAATGCCACTAGTATGCAGGGGGTTACAGGGGGTGAAAGTGATAGAAAAGAGGGAGGATTGAGGAGATGACAAAAGATGAACGGAATTCAAGAAGATTGTACTTATCAGGGAAGCAAGTAAACGGAAGGGAGTTCCACAGGCAAGATGTACGAGAAAAGAAACTGTTGGAGTAGAAGGCACAGTTGCATTTATCTATTTCAACAGTGAAAGCGTGGAACCTAGATACCAATCTATTAGAACGCTTAAATTCATTAAATTCAGTCTTGCTGATGACGGACAGAAAAATGTCTCTATGGTGGTTTATATATCCCCATACACTACAATTCAAATATTCATAAAACAAACCTATTCAGTAACCTGTGAGTTGAGTAGTTCTTGGGACTTGCATTAGGTGAACAATAACGCCAGAGAACTCTGGGAAACGATTACAAAGAAAACGACCTGAACTATAATTCCTTTTGGTAAAGAATATAACAATATCCGTTGGTCTGGACGTAGCCTGTTTGTGACAGTTTAATAAAAGCAGGATTTGCTTTCAGAGTGGATAATATTAGATTAGGTTAATAGCCCGAACAATTATTCATTATAACAGAAAGCATTCTAGAAATGTTCACTGCAAGTTATTTGTAGCGTATAAGAAAACATCGCTTATCTTGCACAACACACAAAGCAAATTGTCCACTCTCAAATCCCGGGGATCAGTCAGGCTGGCATAAATATTCAATGTTAGCTTGGATTTTAAATTTGCTGACATTGAATATGCCGAGTATTTTTTTCATTATAGTCATTTATTTTTAATCATTTCAGCCCAAGCAAGTAGATAATGCCATTAAAATGTAAGGGTTTACCGAGAGTGAAAGAAAATGAGAATACGATAGTGAAGAGAAAGTACAATAAAAGAACAGGTTTCGGGAAGAGAGAAGATGGCGACTAATTCTGCATTTAAATTTTTAAAAATCGTAACTCGGAAAATAAAATGAAAGAGAGTTGAACAGAAAATAAGTACGAGAGAAAAAACTATTACATACTCGTACATCGAGCTATTTCAACAATAAATCGATGAAACCTAACTGCCAATCTAGTAATACGCTTAAATTCATGCAGTAAAAGTACCACGAGGTAAAGCTTATTAGAATATTGCAATGGAGAAAAGACCCGAATGAAGCCACGTATTGGTTATGAATATACGAATTGTAGAGTATGTGGATAAAGAAACTTATCTGCCTGCCATCAGCGTCGATGATTCTAGACTCCTGGAGGACAACACACTGCGCCTTCTTGGCCTCACGTTTTCAACTGCCTTGAAGTGGAGTGACTACAGCGAATCAATAGCTGTATCTACTGAGAGGAAATTTGGGTCACTGTGCTGTGCCAGAAACCTTTTCACGTCAGAGTCCATTTTGCACATTTCCAAATCTAGGATATATTCGTGCATTGAATACTGATGCCATATCTGGTCTGGTGTCCCTTCTACTCATCTTGAAGTTCTTGACAAAATCCAAACAAGGATCTGCAACTGACGTGACGTGGCTTCCCTCTGTCTTTTCTACAAATATTTTCATGGCAACTGCTCTGACGAGCTTTTTTCTCTGGTGCCCGAACGCCGTGGGTTTTAACGTGCTACTAGATTGGCATTTAGGTCCCACTCTTTTACTGTTGAAACAGTTAAATATAACTGCCACTTCTACTCTAACATTTTCATTTCTCATGCGTCCCGCCTGTGGAATTCCTTTTGTTTACTTGCTTCCTTGATAAATTCATTCTTCAAAAATTTAAATGCAGCGTCAGTCGCCATCTCCTGTCTTCTTGAATCACTTTCATCTTCGGTCCTTTCCTCAATCCTCCCTATACTCAGTCTTTTCTCTCACTTTCACACCCTAAAACCCCCTGCTTACTCGATGCATTCCCACCTTGCCTGGATTGAAATGATTAACAAAATTTAAATATAACGTCAATCGCCATCTTCTATCTTCTGGAATCCCGTTCATCTTTTGTCCTTTCCTCAATCCTCCCTATACTCAGTCTTTTCTCTCACTTTCATTCCCTGTAACCCCCTGCGTACTAGTGGCATTCTCGCCTTGCATGGGGTGAAATGATTAATATATGTAAGATAGATAACGGTTGAGCCTAAACTTGAAGATTTTAGTGGTCGAGGGAGAATCTTCTCATAAGTATGTCCCAGAAAGCAGCGGCTTTTAGGAAGACATTGCCCAAACTTAAATGTCCTTCTTACCAATAGAGTGAATAGTTTGCTGTGTACATGGCATGGCGTGTCTTCGCTCTAAATATCTGAACTGATGGAACAAAAACGTATCGCGTCAGAAAAGTTTCCATGCAAATAGCGATGGAGTAGCTAGATATTTGCAATGTTTTGTCTTTGTGGAAATAGGATATAGTCACGTGAAGGTTTTTGAAATCTGTCGAGGCTAGAAAGACAGGGTTGGGTAGCTCCTACCTATATATAGCAACAATACTCTCTTTGTTGGTCTGATCTGACTTTTGTGAGGGTAAACCATTTTTCCAGCATCTTGTTATTGTTTAGATACTTGTTCATTTAAACGTTTCTTTCCCACAAAATCAGACGTTGAATTCAGACAAGTTCTGTTACAATCAGGACAATGACTAACCTCACGTCTCTTAGCAAACACAGCACCCACAGTACTTACCTGACTGTGTTTTGGGTGCCTTACGATTTAACATGGAAAGATGAATAGCCCTCAACTCCATTTGCGATTCTCTGCTCAAACACAACAGAAATGATCAATTTTTAATAGAATCATTACAGACGATGAAAAATGGATTGTTTACAACAATGAGGTGGAGAAAATGTTCCTAAGGAAAACGAAAAGTCTGTCTACATTCAAAGATGATGAGGCTGTGATTGAACTGGAAAAGTATTACGAGCGAATTCCGCAAAATTAACGTTCAGTTCAGGCAAGTACTGCTCCCAATTACACAGATTAAAGGCAGCAGTCTATGAAAAGTGCCCGGAATTGGGTGCTCGGAAAGGTGTCAGGACAACACCAGACCACACGTCTCTTTGTAGACCAGACAGAAATTGCTCCAACGTCAAAGATATCCTACTACACCCTCTGTACTCACGTAGCCTCTTATCTTAGCATTTTTACATATTCGGGTTCTTGATAGGCTCCAGAAGCGGATATGCAATGTGGTTGGCCCTGCCCTGGCGTCTCGTCTACAGTCACTTTCTCACATACGCGCCGT